CAACTAAAACAACTAAAAATACCCCCAACATGGTAATACCCGAGTGTCGGATCCCAACAGGATAATAAGTTTGACACTCGGGCTCACAGGGACCAACGACTCAGACAAAAGAACACAAGACACGAACAAAACAAACGCAAACAAACACTGAAAAGACAATTAAAAACACACAAGGCCTCCCCTACAACAAATTCTAACCAGACTAGCAGCCGCCAAATCAACCCAGGGGGATTCAACTGCATGAGAAAAGCGACCCCTCCACTACCAAACTGCCTAGCTGAATCGAAACTCATAATACGACCCCTCCACTGCCAAACTGCCTCGCATCTTTGATATTCTCTTCGACCTATGGCTCTTTCGACCTGTAGGGTCCTCATCTTGCATTCGACCCAATGATTGACTTAGTCTGGTTTGGTCATTTTTCTAGTCTACTCGGTCAGATGTGAATATCCTACATAAAACAAGAAAATAGTGTTCAAGAATGTGATAAGACAGTGAATGGATTATGAAACTAATTGATAAGGTCAATTTATAGATAAATCAAAATGGTGTTATGCCATTACAACTTGAACAACCTACACGTCATTGACAACCTAGTACATGAAGATACAACATTAACGATAGCATTACAATATGCATCAACCTAACATCTTAAAGTCTTGTCCTTAAGTCATCTTCTTCGCATCAAATGCCTCAAAAGCCAGAAAAGAACATCAAACTCAACATGCTCACTAATGTACTTAGAAGTCTTATTTTTTTAAGCTCGCATTTTCGATTTCTGAATTTTTTTCTTCCGTTTCTTTTTTTTTTTCTTTATTCAAAAGTTCCACTTTTCAATGCAAATCATCTTAGTTGCTTCTTCAATATCATTCATGTTGGGATCTGTGAGGATCTCGTTATGTACAAGTCACGGATTCAATAGCAAACGTAAACCTATGCTCAACGGATCTAAAAGTTTGACATAGAAAACTTACGGCTTAAAATTATCAAATCTTCCGGATTTAGGATGACTGGAAAACAACACGTCGGAAGCCGAAAACATGAACGGATATTGGGTCGTGGCCTCGGGCTCGTCGGATGGCGTGGAGGATCGCCGGTGGAGTCGCGGGGTGCCTGCTTGTCGCGGCGGTTTGTCCGGCGAGCTGGAGTAGGTGGACTGCAGCCTTCGGGTCATGGTTCATCGGCTCCGATGGCTCTTCAGGGTTGATGAATATATTCGTCTCGGTTACCTCGAGATCTTCTACTGTATTAATCGTACACCTCTTCAACTTGTACTGGTGGAGCAACAAGAAGAAGATAAAACTCGAACAGAAAACTGAGAGATAGAGAGAGAGATAGAGAGATAGAGAGAGATAGAGATAGAGAGAGAGACTAAGGATATGCAGGTATAATATATCACACGTAGGAGAATTCTGATATCTTCTTCTCTTTTTCATGAGCTACAGTAGATCCGTAGGAGAGTAGAAATAAGGCTTCTTAAGTAATGGACTAACTGTGGGCCAAGTCTACGCTTCCAATTACTTAAATAATATTACGGTCCACTAACTTAATATTATTGCACTCTCTTTCCTATCCCAAATTACATTTGAGACTCCAGTAATAATTACTCGAATTACCTCTCCATGTTTAAGATATAATTTCCATTAATTAATTCGATTATTGGTAATGAAGAATTAATTAATATATTATATTACCAAAGCTAGCGCTCGTTCATTGTATTCTTATCATGTCGGAATTTATTCCACCTGAAGTGTTTAGCATAATAATTCTTCATGAACTCACTTCGGGGACATCATCAAACTAACGCACATGGTGACTGTATATATCCTAACATCACATCCTACATACAACAATATTACCCTAGACATAAGACTATTGATCCAGCGAACTGAGCCTCACCCAAGTGAATCAAAGCATGTTTGTTTATGAAATTTTTTGAGTTTGTTTGGATTTTTTGGTTTGGTTTGGTTGAATTTGAAAAGGTGGTATGGTTAGTTGTTAGTGGATTTATTAAAATAAAATTTAAAATAAAATGGTTAAAATTAAATTGATGTAAAAGTAGGAGAGAGAAGATGTGATGTAATGGTTAGTTAAATTATGTGAGTAGATGAATAATGAATTAAGGTTGATGTGGTGTGTATGAATGATTGATTGATATTATTTAATTATATTGATAATATTGATGATAGTGGTGTTGAGTTAAAGTAAAGTGTTGGAAATTTTTTGAATTTTTTTATAAACAAACATGCTCTAAGTACTGCATGTATATTTTTGTTTCATATCTTACGGGTTAAGAGAACGCAGTAATTAACCGAGGCTTAGTTCGTTTACGACGATCATTATAAAACAAACTTCTCCTCTCTGAGATTTGTTCAATACATAAATTTACTAGTACAACCAATTAGTTAAGACCAACTGTACAGAAAATATACAATTAATAAATTAAGCCTTTTATTTAACCAACTAATTAGTCATCTCTTTAAAACAAAAACAAAAAAAAAAAGTAAAAAAACTAACATATTTCTTTATTTTTAATTTCTCCCCCCTCCGACAGCCGCAGTGGCAGCCC